TAGAAAAGTAAGGAATAGAGTTATAAAAGCAGAGAAAAAATAAGGACAGTGATAAGTAAGAAAGTAAAGGATGAAGGATTAAGAAATAAATATAGAAAATCAAGAAGGTTGAAAATGAAGGAGAGGGGTGCTTCCAAGAGACCAGTATAGGAGACCGGCTCGAGGAAGAATGAGTGCTTGGAATCCGGGCACTGCCCGAGTGCTCCCACCACTCTCCGACTGCTCCCACTCGCCGCTTGCTCCCGCTCTCCGAGTTCTGCGCGACGAATATGCTTGGCCAGAATTTCCGATTTCTAAATGTTAATATTTTACTTTATTGATTTAATTAATTACTTTATTGTTCCAAACACCTAATTTATTCATATTTCAATCTGAACGTAATTTACTTTCGATATTCTACAATTTCAATTTAATTTTTATCTACTTCGTATATTTTGCGAGATTTTGATTTAGTCTCAATTTTATATTGCGAATAAATTTTGAAAGTAAATCAAGATCCAATAATATTTAGTAAAAATCGAGGTGTTACACAGGTGTCAAGTTGGAACTGCACTTTCTTAAAAATGTTTCGACAATAGTTCTTGAGAGGTTCTAAAGTTCCCGGTCTCGTTCTAAAGGTTGCTTTGGAAACCAGCGGTGAGTAGCGGAGAACCTCTGTCCGCCAAGCTACGCGTTCGTGTTCCCGTTTAGCTCGGCTACGACGGGATTCGTATTGTCGACGGAGGCGATGATCACAATATCCTACTTCCAGACTCGCCGCTATGATTTAACGTGACGATTTTGGTATCGCCGAAAATCGTAGCGTTGTGCATCTCCCTATTTATCTCTGCCTAGGACATGTCAGAAGAAGCTCTGAAGAATTTGAAGAACTGTCATGAAATTATGATTATTACGAATTGAAGTGGAGAGAAGTTTAAGGTGTTTACGAAAATCGTGTCCGCATTTTTTTTTGGTAATGTTTATAATTAAAAAGTGTTATAAACAATCACTGTCTGAGTAATGCAGATTACTGGATAGTAACAACTCCGACGTAGAGAAGAATTAGTTCGATAAACGTGAAGTTAATGTTAAAAAAGAACATGAGTCGTTCTCTTTATATTTTTGCTTTTGGTACTTTACTTAGTGTCTCGTATACCTCAGGCGTTGGTTCTGCCCCAGCAACAAAGTTCATCATCGATGAATTTAGAAATGGCATCTGTCCTTCTTCGTTGCGTTTGTACAACTCAAGCTATATGAGCAACTGTGCAAAGATAGTGTACCCTTCTGAACTATCACATATTTCTGAAAACAATTCCAATACATTTCTGTGCTTAGGGCTTTATGACATAAGTTACAGAATTTGTTATTTTGAGAGCAGGAACCCCAATTTTACTGTCTTACCCAATGATCATGATTTGGATTTGCAAATGAAGAAACTGGTTCAGTCGAGTAATAATCCTTCCCAATTCTGTGAACAACAGGAATCTTGGAAGTATTCACCACTATATAATAAAACACAGCAAGCAGTGTCTATGTTGACTATTGCATTTAAGGATAGTTTTCAGTGTGAGAGAATATGCTTTGATTTTACCAAAAAATTTAATCTGTTATGCGCCATTTGGGTTTGGGCTACGCAATTGCCAGAAATATCAACTTTCGATCAACAGAACAGTATGCTGTACAATAATTTAAATCTTGCATCATCGATTAAGAACAAAAGTAATAAAAATGATCAGACGTCACATGACATGAGTTCGGCTGCAGTGAGCAGTTCTATATCAAAATCAGAAGTCATAAAAAATGGGAAAAATAAACAAAATAAAAAACTACCCTCTGGTAAAGAAAATGATTCTGAGACTTTAGTTAATGATTACGAATCGAAGATTCCATCAAAAGATAATGGTAGGGTACAAGCTTCTACAACCTCATTATCAGGTGCTGTACAAAATCATCAAGATAGTGAGATAGAAATTAAATCATCAAATGTGGATAAAATACATGAAAACTCAAATACAAAATCTGAGTCTCCAAAAGATAATACTAACAAAAAATTTGAGGGGCTGGAAAAATCAGCTGGCTCTACTACCGATGGAAAGAATGTATTTTCATCACAGAAAATGGAGTCTACTGGGGCTAGTATCAATCAATCTGTTACTCTTTTGCAAAATACAGATGATCCAAAGAATTTTCATTCAGAAGATTTAAGTGAAGATCATGCTTATGGTATGTCATGTGCGTTTATTACTACTGTTATTATAATGTTTGTTAGATAAATATGTATATAATTATTTTATATTTTGTAGGCACCACTGAAGATGGTGTTGGTGTGGTGCAAGATCCGAGTAAGTTTGAAACGTCATTGTAAAATCAGTAGCTTAATGAATTATTAAAAAAATTACATGTGATTTTACAATTACAAATTAATATGTGAATCTAATAATTTTAATATTAATCACTAAAATACACTATGATTCTTTTTTAAAGGCACTTCTGGTCCCAGTCTCCCTAAACCATCTAAAATAAAGGACACACTTTTCCTTAATCCCAGCATAAGAACCGAAGATGATTCTCATTTTTTTACATACTTTGTGGTGATAACTTTTTTATGTATTGGTGGATATGTGGGTTATCATAACAAGCAAAAGGTATGTTTCACAAAAGTACTATATTACATCAGCCTAAACAAGATTTATTCTAATACCATTTCACGTCATTATCTACGTTTTTTTAAACAGATTTTGGCTTTTGTCCTTGAAGGACGTCGATCTCGCGGTAGCCGTGGAAGACGAAGACCAAACACTGCAAGTTATCGAAAATTGGATTGTACACTGGAAGAAGCTGTTAACTCGCAATGCAATTCTAATGTCACTCATGTCATATATTGATGTGATACATTGATGACCTGTAAAGCATCATCTATCAGAGTTACTGTATTATAGTGCTGCAGATTTAAAGCATTTCATATTTAAATGCAATACTTTTTCACACAATGAAGTTTCGAATTCTTCATTAATTTCCTCGAGTCCGGATGGCAAAAATAATTTGTTTTTTCGCACAAAATTGTCTTAGCAGACATCATGCATAATAACTTCTTATATAAGCAGTTGTATATCAATGCTTTTTGGCAGTATCGGCATTATACACAAATTAGATTGTTCGCCTCCTTTCGGTAAACAAAATTCCATCGTGGAGCTGTGATGAAATACTTATCGTTGAATGTATATTTGTGAATTAAAAAATTACATTGATTTAATTGTGCTTAGGGTCATCATTATCTTGGTTTTTTACAGAACATAGATCGACGACTATCTTTCATTCTATACTTCAATCAGATTACCAAACGACCTTGATATAACATTAATCAGGTCTCTCTAATTTTGGCTGTATGGCACAGAAGTAATATTAAGTTTCATATCGTATAATAATGTGTATAAATGTTAACTGATGCAACAGCAGCATTGCGGTTATACTGTAGCACGTAGTTCGTCGATTATCAATAACACTTTAAGAGAAAGATAATGTGTGTAAATTATTTGATAACTTTTATGCTAATAAAGTCTAAGTAAAAATTTATCTTTCGTAACAGTTGAACATTAAATTATAACCATTATATCTTATAGTCATTGACAATGATACGATTTCTTTAGCAAAACTTTAAGGAATGTCATTTTAATTAAAATTTAATCGTGCACAACGTTAAGTTTAATGATAAATTGACTTTTCAATCGAATTCAATTCTACGAGCGAATATCAAATCAATTTTCTTCACTGAAAAGAATTGATTGTCATTGTCATAACGAATGCGTAAATCATTGTTACCAGGGTACCTTGACATAGGTAATTGAATTGGTTGTAAAATGTCATTGTGAGTGCAGTCCACAGCGAAAATTAATGAAACAGTGATGCAATTATTAAACCAATTGGCTACGTTTGGTACCAATTCAGAGGTCATATTGCCTCAAGGATATTGCAGACAGAAATATTTTGATGAATTAAAATCACCAACAATTCTCTACAATCCAAATTCATGTCTTCCTTAATGTACATACATACGAAACGGTACCGTGTAAACCATAGAGTTTATTATTTTTGCTCCTATATTCGCATTACAGCCATTATACGACAATGAATTTTCTTCAATTATGCATACAATATATGGCATCCATGGTATTAGTCATGATCCAGTTTATATAATCCGAATTTTTCACATAAACGCCTGGCATACCACGTTTTGCACAACCAATACCCCAGGAGACAATACCTAATATATTTTTCAATTACACAAAAAGAAATAATTATGTTACATAAAGTTAAAGTAGTAAATGTATATGAATAATTATGAAATTTACCTATTGTCTCATATCTTCCATCATATCGTTGATAAAGAAGTGGTCCACCGCTGTCACCCTATATAAAATCATACACAGTGTATACATCGTTAATAAATTCGGTATCTATATCAATTGCAAAATGTAAGACGATATAATACCTGACAGGCGTCAGTATTTTCATTGTAGGCACATATCATAGATTCCGTAATATGATCACCAAAAGAGACGTTCTTACAACTGAGCCAGGGCATCACCTTGAGATTGGCTTTTCTTAAATATCGTGACGCTCCTCCCGTCGTCGTCACACGACCCCATCCTGTTACTTTGACTTTATGTCCTGTGTAATCCGAACCTAGGAACCATGAGCTTTATAATATTTGTTTACTTGGAATATCCCATTACTTGGTTTAAAATAATAGTATATATACCTTTGTATGGCAGACAGGCTGGCCTTATGTTGTCATTATATTTAACAGAATACTTAAGTTTGATCAAGGCAATATCGTTTGTATCATGAAGATAATCACTTTCAAAATTTTTATGAAGGATGATCTTGTCGATTGGTGCTAGTTGACCTTCATTCACATTTTTTATATCATGCACGCCAAGTTTTATCGACAGATCCGAGTGTTTCGTCCTGTGCAAAAAATCATTTGTATTTGAATTTATAATTATAACCAAATACGTCATCTACTTGCTGTACTTACCATTTAACGCAATGACCAGCTGTAAGGATATAACGATCGTTGATTAATGTACCGCCACAATGTAATGATCCTTTATTAAAAATTGCAGCTATCCAGGGAAATACATGCGGTATTGTAATGACTCCTCCGACAATGCGATTAGACACTCCTTCCCCGGATTGGCCACATTCTGTTAGACACAATTTTTTAAAATTAATTCATCTGTTCAACTGGGTTCTTAATGACTTAGAATTTCATCAGCACTGTATTACCACAGCTTGGATTGATTCGTGGCATATAGAAATTTGTCCGACTTCTCACCGCCTGAAATTATAATTTTTATATTAATTATATGCCTAAATAATTTTTTTTTATTTTCAACGAACGTTAACAATAAACAGGATCCCTATTGTGGACAGGATCATCCTAGATTTCATGATGCACTGTCAACCTTTGAATGATCTGGAGCGACTGAGCTCCCTCCTACTTGTGCAATGATCTATATTGATCAGCTATACTGTACGCAGCTGATTGGCGAATATTGTTATAGCTTATCGTTACTTCTCATGGTTTTATCACACCCGACAATTTTGTCGAGGAATATCGATACGACTATTATATTAATAAATCGATCATTATATCGATCTTACGATGTATTGGCAATATCTGGTTTAATCTCGTATATTTTGGCATATTGCAATGTATGTAGATCAATTCAGTTACCCCTATCCAATACCGTGGTAACTATCCTAATATACGAAGTGGAAATTGGATTTCTTAATATATATATAACAATATATAAAACTGCAGGGAATTCTGTCACGAACTGCCTGAGGTAGTAATAAAAAGAGAACTAATATTTTATTTTGATACTTTACGAATAAACGAGACAATGATATCGTAATTTATTAATATTACAAAATTTCTAGAATGGATAGACAATTAGGTATCAATTTTTGAGTATATCCAATCTAGATAATAATCCACGTTGGTATATACCCCAGGCCAACCCTCATCACCGCAACCTATCCCAAAGGATACGATACCTAAAAATATTATTAAACATTAATAGTAATAAAAGTATTATAATTAAAATGGTAAATTCATCTATAAACCTCGAATGGTAAAGCGATTATCACGTTCTTCAAGCAATGGACCCCCGCTGTCACCAGAACAAGAATCGACCCCACCTTCAGGATTACCAGCGCATATATCTCCGGGTAGGTCAAAATTATTGAAGGGTACTTTAAAGTGGCGACACTCCGAATACGAATAGACATTGACTGTTGCCTCCTGAAGTATGCAAACTTTCGTTTTGTTGTCTATGCCAAACTGTCCAAAACCTATGATTGTACCGGAAGCTGGTAGCAGAGCTGAAAGCAGGATTACGTTAAAAGAGGACAACAAAAATATTTTATAACAATAATAAAAAGTGAAAACGACCCGTGGGTCCTTTGTTTCTTAAGTCCCTTCATGGACGTTATCGGTCCAGAAGAAGGATCTTTACGTTTCACCATTTTCGCACAACCTCCAATTAACGGGACTTTTTTCCTAGTTCACCCAACCGGCAGTTTACCCAAAGGGGTCAATTGTGCATAGATTCGTATAGAGATCCAAATAGATATTTCGTTTGATTACCATTTTTTTTTGGAAGACAGACGGTCCTAAAATTGTCAGCTGGATCATTCAAGACCAAGATACCAATGTCGTTTGCCAAAGTTCCTGGATCATAATCCTCGTGGATCACTGCTGATTTTATTGAAAAAACTTTGCGAAATTTATTAATACTTATGTTGCAATTGTCATACGTGCCAAGTGTTATTTTTTCATTTGCATTCTTCGGCACTGCTGTTTCAGCTATACTGTAAAATTGTCAATTGGTTGGGTATTATTATTGTTATTATTTAAATAAAACGTAGTAATACTAATAACAAAGGTATGAATACTTTACTCAGCTATACAATGTGCTGCGGTGAGAATATGATTGGGCGTTATGAGATTACCACCGCAAAAATATTCGTCGGTTCCGTTGTTACTTGAAAATATTTCACCATACCATGGATACTTGTAATAATTGACACTGTGACCACCTTCGATTTTAGGCTCACTTATAATTCCGCAAGTACTGCTTAGATCGTTCGACGAAAAAATATCTATGAGTTTGTTGATACGAATTTTGATATTATCAGTGAGCACGGTAATTGATAATATAATTAAATCACAATACTCACCAAACAGATGTAGCAGACGCGTGACGAAATTTGTAAGGAAATTTAAATTGAGCAAGTTCATATTTCTTATGTATAATGTATGCTATAATGGTTTCGAGACGAACGAGGATTTCGTTATGGATAGAACATTCGTACAAGTGCGACAAGTAATTTATATTGTGTAAGGCATATATAAGTTAAAAAGAGATATTATATTAAAAGACATCATTATTCATTTTAAATAGTCGCTTATGATATAGTAAACAACTTTACAATGACTTCCGGGCGATTATTCCGTCGTTGTTATCGCGTACCTTCAAATTCATACAATATACCTAACTTCTAATTGATTATTATAAAAATTGCAGCGATAACAATTATAGATATAAAGTACAGCACGTTACGCGAGTAACAAGCTTATCAACGCCAACAATACATGGAGTCTCGTGTTGTAATTTTTACCACCCACGTTATCATACGTGCCACGTCTGTATAAAAACCTGGAAATCCCTTATCACCGCATCCAATTCCATTGGAAACGATACCTGAAATAAATTCGATCAATTCCGATTAAATTAATTAGATTACAATATTTGCATTTATTAAATATAAAATAAATATATATACCAATTAATTCGTATCTTCCTTTGTCGTTCAAAATTTGTAACGGACCGCCACTGTCACCCTGTTATTCCCGAAAACCAATATCTAAAGTATTTTTTTAAATTCAAAATACTTCCCAACACATGCTACATACCTGACACGCGTCCTGTCCCCCAGATGAAATTCCAGCACAAAGTAGCGTGGAAACTTTAGTCGGGCAGTCTATAGGGTGGTAAAGTTTTAATTTGACCTTATGCAACGTACAAACTTTTTTCGATATATCATTCTCACCCCAGCCAAGGGCAGAAACTGTTTTACCATTAAATTTTATTGTTGTGGTTGTTCTGGTTACTTCAAGTAAATACAGTCTCGAATATAATTAAAAAATCCACAGGGAAATATATGCGATCATTTATACTTACGTATATTTGGTAGACAAATTGGTCTTATATATTCGTTGAAAGTGACTCGCATATTCAATTTCAATAACATTATATCCGCATAATTTGTTCCTGAATGATAATCTGGATGTGGTATTAATTTTTCTACAGAGAACACTACGGTTTTCAAATCCCCGTTACACCTGTCATGCTCCCCCAATACGACCTTCATTTCATTTTGCCTGAAACTGTCACTTTTGTTCGTACCAGAATTTTGCATTAAAACGATCATCGTTCGTTCACTTTTTTTTACCCGCGTAGAAGGCAGTGGGCTGCCGTTAGGACGTAACGATCGTTTAAGAGGGAGCCACCGCATACCAGGCGCGAACCGTTTCCAATTATTAACGTCATCCATGGATATTCGTTCTCGAAAACTTCGGTTCCGCCGACAATTCGTGTATTTTGAGGCTGGTTGGTATTTCGACGTCCGCATTCTCAACCGGATAACGGATATGGGTTTTAATTCCACGAATTGTTAATAAAAAGTGAGGTCATTTCGCATAAGACTTACCACAGTGTTTATACGCAGGACTTCCATAGGAGAGATCGATGTGATGTTTGAGGTTAATGTTAAATCTTGTGGTACACTTTGCGAGTGGAATATGAAAATAGGCTAGTGTCAAAACTATAATTAATTTCATAACGTTCATTATTTTTAGACTGGACTTGAAAAATAGTGTGTTACGTTACATAGACTTGGTGGTACTAACTAAGGTAAAGTGTTATTTTGGTTTCATTATGGATTTTGGTTTATACTTATTACGTATGTTACCCGCATTTGTGTTTATCGACTTTCTCTAACTGTCATAACGTTTTTCATTGGTATGTTTAAAAGATACATATTGACTGTTGTGTTTATTTAAATACTTTATACAGTATTAGTATAGATAGGTGTTAATTGTATAATAGTATAGAATGTATTATGGAAAATAAATATGATTATTAATATATATGTATATGTATATAATGATCGATTATGGTCATTGGATTTTTTAAATGTTATTTTGTGCAATAACAAGCTTCTTTGGTCTGCTGTAATATCCAGTCAAGATGTGGACCAACTCTTGTGAAAATTGCTGTTCTAGGCGTATCGTCACACTTGTTTACATCGGACAGAATACCTGTAAAAAAACGTATTATTTTTCTATACGATAATCTATAGTTATATGTGTGAAGATATTTTGTTAATCACTTACCGATCAAATCATAAACTCCGGAATAAGATCGGTAGAGAACAGATGAGCCGACGTCGTTCTAAAAATATTTTAATTATGGAATATTTTGATGTTAAGGGTGCAACGTAAAGGTGTATAATATTTCAAAGATCTTATATTTTCATTTTACCTGGCACACTATAGAGTTTCCACCGATAACACCGATGCATCCAGAGTCGTTATGAAAACTGGTAAAATCAATTCCTGACTTGATGCATTCGTTATATCCCAAAATTGGTAATCCGAGTTTCCGAGGACGACAAGTTTTTACATCGGTCATGTCAGGCGTGCGACTTTCAATCCATCCAGCTAGCGTGCCTACTTGACCTAAATAGGTGGAACCTGAAATTCGAAGGGAGTATAGTTAGTCAATATAAAAAATTGCTATTAAGAAGGTAAAAAACAAAAAAAAATATAGTGAATCAGAAAACTGTTTATTTTTGAGAAAGAAAAAAGAAATTGTACCAGGATTAGGAAGGCAGACAGGTGAAATTCTTCGTTCGAATTTAATCGGTCTCGTTAATCGTATTAGCGCTAAATCCTTTGCTCTGGACTCGGGATTAAATTCAGGATGTAAAATTACAGTTTCCGCACTGATGTTCACCGAAGAAATGTCCAGGTTACATCTGTCGTATTCCCCAAGGGAGACTTTTATCTCAGGAGCCGTGGCACTGGGAGAAGATATTTATTGCTGTTAAAAGTGCATTCAGTGACGAGAGGATTGAATTTTAATACAATACCAACCCCACGAGTTGACTGGCCGAAGTTAGCACGTATCGATCATTTATCAAAACGCCACTGACAAGAAGCGTGGATTTGACATGAACATTGGTGAGCCATGGAAATTCATGTGTGTCGGTGAATTCACCCCCGAGAAGACGAGCCCCTCCGCGGTTTGGTCTTCCGCACTCTGAGATAAAGTCAATTTTAAATTTGATAAAGATACTATAAAATTTATTAAAAAAAAAAACCAAAAAAAAATGGCGATACATACGACAGCCACCACACGTGCGAAATCTTCCAAATAATAAATCCAGAACACCTCGTCCATTTCTGACGTCCCTTGTTTCCACCTTTCAATTAGAATATAAAAAATAGATTTTTCTTTAAAAAAAAATCATTCGTCATTTACGTAATTACACTGTTTCAAGTTACCTCGTTGTCCTTTAATTTTTCATCACGCGAAGTTGACGCCCCATTTATCAAAATTATAATGCAGACCAAGTACTTCACGTAGTCTTGAATGTTCATGACGTTGCTTTAACTCGAGCTCAACGGGTGTTCAGTCGCCGGAGGTTCGCTCTTATGTAGCGGGACTTATTAAGTCTTGCGGTATGTTCACTGAGAAGATACCCACTACGTTCCCCACGCTTCGTCTCATCCAGCGACTATCGCATTGGTAATGTTGGTGCAGAGTTCGTGACGGGGAGATCACATTTTGCTTAAGACTCCAAGGCGGTCAGTCGCTGACCTGTACGTATAACATGTCCCGTTAGTTAATCCTGAGATTGTATGTTAAGTGTATGCATAAGATATACAGATTCTCATCTCGATGAATATACCGGTCCAGGACATATGAAAAGTTGGACATTTTTTATTTGAATGAATAGAAATAGACTGGACCCACGTGTGGGAGTATTCGTGATAAAAATGAATTTTGACGATAACGTGAATTTAGCGGAGATAAAAAAATATTTTATAAAAGTTACAAAAAAATACTTCGATACATTGTTTATTAATTTTTATACAATAATTCATTTTAATGATAATAAATAATTGGAATCGTATACACGATAGATATGACTACTGAGTACTCTGAGTATTTTTTTTTATTATGTCGCTAAATTTTTTTTTTAATTTCTTGTAATTTCTCAAAAGTCACAGTGATGAACTTTGAATCCTCTCGTTTGAATCTTATCGAGGAAGATTTACGGGTTCGGTTAATCAGTGAGAAATTTTTTTTTAATTTTCACAAAAGCATCCGTCTCTTGTGTTTTCCAGGATCCAGTCTAAGTATCGGGTAACGCGAGTATAGACTCCAGGATATCCAGGACGTGCACATCCATTTCCCCAGGACACTACCCCAATTAATTCATATCTTTTGTCTAGACGTTCGCTTATCAAAGGACCACCGCTATCGCCCTGAGAATAAAAAAAAAGCAGTTTTATTAATTAATTAATCCAATCACGTGAAATATTATTTTTATTCTAATAATTTCCAATGAATTTAATTACCTGGCAGGAATCTTTCTTTCCATCTGGATATCCTGCGCATAACATGTTATCAGAAATCATACGTGGACTGTAACTGGTATTACGACAATCGGCAAGACTCATCACAGGAACTTCGACTTCTTGTAGCAAACAGGAAGGTTTCCCATCCTCGTGTAAGGTTCCCCAACCGGATGCAATAGCGTGAGTCCCGACGTAAGCGTTATCTAGTGATAATAAAGTACCCGTATGTTACATATGAGCAGAAAGCGACGTAATAATTTCAGCAATAATTGACAACGCAACTGGCTCCGCGTTCCAGTTTGATTTCAGTAAAAGTTCATGAGGATGAGAAGTGTAAAAAAATGTTATCATTCGGTATGGATGAATATTATGATTATAATATTTATGAAAATTTTCGGCTACGATGATCGCGAAATGATTAAGTGCAAATTATTGGTTTCAGATCATTTTAAAATAATAAGATGGATTTGATCACTCGTGAAAGGGTTACAACCCTCATTTCTTGGTGGAGGAGTGATTTATCAAGCTGTCACTTCTGCCCAGAGAATTGCGCCTGAGAGCATGAGGCCCGTATGAGCATTAAATAAAAATCAGCCGATAGGTACAATCTGTCTCATGTTGAAAGATACAGTAAATAAGTGAGTTTGTGAGTTTGCTCAATAGAAGTAAAATTGTAGATTGATAAGAATTGTAGTTGAATAAAAAAAAGGGTGTTTTGATTGAAAAAATGTCAATAAAAGAAAAGTCAGTTAACTTACCTCGTATCGTGGGAAGACATACTGGCCGTATGGTATCGGTAAGAGGTACTCTTTCATTGAGCCGTAAAATGGCGATGTCATTGTCAAAATTGAGAAAACTGAAATCACCCGTAAAAGCCCTGACAACGTATCGCGTCTCGGGATTGATTTTCTCATCGCATCTGTCGTGCTCGCCGAAAGTGACTTTGATCATGAACCACATGAACCTGAAAAAGAAACTAGAGAATTTGATAGGGCTTTCTTAGGGTGATCGTCTGGGTCTAGGGAATTCTAGGGATAAATATTAAACTAGCTTTAACACCATTTGGACTTACTATTCTAATCAGGTAGTTATGTAACAAGGATATTAAAGTCAATAAAGTCTCACCCTTTAACGCAATGAGCTGCCGTCAGTACATAACGATCGTTTATTAAGGTTCCTCCACAATAAAATTTATTCAAATATGAAAGTCTAGCCATCCATGGAAATTCATTCATATGAGTCGTTTGACCACCGACTATTCGACTCTCTTCGTTTCTGAGACCACAGCCTGAAATTGAAGATTAATAAACGAGACGTCTTCGTTAACACCTTCCTCCTTGTCACTATGAAAAATCTGAACAGTCAGTTCCTAAGACTAATTAACTAGTCAACGAGACCATTAATTGGAGCATGAATGGACAGTCAGCCTCGCGCTCGTGGATTATCAACCATATTTAATTATTTGGAAAAAAAAATCATAACCAAAAAATCGACGGATCGGTACTTACTACAGTAACATTGCACAGGAGGTTCGTTAGCTTCCGGTGGTTTGTTACCAAAAAATCCAAAAAAGTTTTTTCCCTGGCCAAAAACTCTTTTATCCTATAGACAAAAGACAACATTGATCACCGTACTATATACCAATCTTCCCAGCACTCAAGACTTATCAGCGACTCACCTCTGTCTGATAAGCTTCACTGGTAACGATCACTGACAATCCAGTCAGGACGATCCACAGATTCAAAGCAGTCATTATAGAAATCGCAAGCAAAACTGTTAAATGCAATATCCAGTGATACTTAACTTCTCTAATCGAAGCCAATCCGACATCATCGGTCGTCGCTCTAACCACTTGCGTACTTGTAGACGTCGAACACGATTGGCACCGACGTCTAGAGGAGACTGAGACCAGCCAAGAGGTGTTTGCTATTCCAGAAGGGAAGGAGGGCGCACTCGAACTGGCCGACTAGTGGACAGTACCTGACCAGTTCACGTTCACGTTCACGTTCACGTTCACGGACACGGCAGTCACTACTGTCAGTGACCTGGCAGGCCATGAATGTTCCCGATCTCCCACACGGAATTTCCACGTTGTCAAGATTCGCGACAAGGGCACCTTCGGAAATGCACTCATGCACGGGACACACCCTAAGAAGAACCAGATGCGTTATGCTAATTTTACGAGCCACAGGAACCGGCAGAGCACGATGAATGCGAATTTATGCATACCGAGAGAAATGGCGAAGCTGAAGAAGTTGGCGTCGATGCGTCACAGGGTACCGTTTCTGAATGCGTTTCACTGATAAACGTATCACCGAGTACACTTGAGATATTTAAGTCACCAAAAATTCACCATTATTGATTCATATAGTTTTTTTTTTTTTTTTTTTTTTTTTTTCCAAAAAAAAAAAAATACTTTTTTTTGGCAAAGACCATCGCCTAACCTATAAGCGGATTAGCTTTGCCTAAATTCGCCAGGAAGGCTCGTAGTGAAATTTGTAAAAAAAAATTTTCACAAATAAAACCCAAGTACCGAACTTACCGTAAAACTATTTTGTTCATACATTATTTCTTGTTTTCTCATAATCTAATATGGTTACCCATTCCCGAGGGTGTTGAGTATTGCTCGTAACTGTAATAGGGGAGTCGAATCGAGTAAGGGTGTCTTGAGAAGGTTGGTTCCTGTAAGCCTTGGGAATCACCTAAAGTAATAGGCTGTGTTCACATGAGAGCGACGATTGAGATATATTGTGCGAGCGTTGGCCATAAAAGCTATTGTGAGAATTTCAAAAGTGGAGTGGATCACTGTACTACTTTTTTTTTTACAAGAATGAATATTTTAATTCAGCCTTAGCATTCGCCAAGCAAAGCCAATGGTCGATCGTTTTTCAATGTTATCGAAAGATTAATCAGTTTCAATTACAGGATCCACATTATTTTCAAATATCTTGTAACCTTACGTATTATGCTAGTTGAAATATTTGTATGGTCAAATTTTCGAACACTTTAAAGATTCGTACTGTGATATACTAGCCGTTAGTAAAGTAATGATGCTAGCGGTACAATAAGTGCACTTTCATTCTGTACTACCAACAACATTGCTTGTGGTAAGTAGTACAGTATGCTACATGATACATTGATGTTGCTATTGGTTTGACAATGAACCGTTATGGGATCGCATTATTCTATGGGCGTTTGACCGCTATCGATTTATCTACAGGTTCGAAATGTACAGCCACTTTTGAAATGCTTTTCGGACCGTACTGTAGTACAGTAGGATGTCTTAACAATTTAAGGTTCATTAGACATTTTATCAACAGACCTGCCTTATAGAAAGACAGATACGAGGGTATTGGCGTAAACATTAATTTTTGTGGAATATATTATTATTTGACAAAATACCGCTTAGCAATACGATTCAATAAATATAAAAATATAATATTATTACGATGGGAGAATGCAAAATTTGATTATTATTTTGCAAAAACACCATACCCACATTGGTATGCCTATATGGCGCGTGACGGAAGGATCGCAAAGAAATCATCATTTTCACTAGTTTCTAGGAATACTCTTACTCCGACGAAACTGCAACCACAGTATAGTTTTTTTTTTTTTTTTTTTTTTTTTGTATTCAATATGGTAGTGTCTTCATTCGCTGAAGGTCTTAGAAAGTACCAGTACACTTTCCACGTAATATTTCATGATACCGCGTACGATATACTTAACTATATACACTATAAAGTATCACATACGAATAGATAATGCTATTGGGAACTGTCTCTCTTTATGCACACGTGTGTCCAGCACTGAAGATTTGGAACGTGAAAACATAAAATAGTGACGAAATTAAAGATTATATTAAGGTCGATGGGAGTTGATTATTTCTTTAAAGTTTTCTTTCATTTAACGCACAAACATGTATCCTTCATATTGGTACGTATCCAATTCAAATATCTTGCCACTCTTGTATAAACGCCAGGGTAACCAGGTCGGCCGCATCCAACACCCCAGGATACGATTCCTATAAAAAGATAAAAAAAATGTATTGATATATTTTAACAGCCATCTTTAATTTATTGATAAATTTACCAGCAATTTCAAGTTTGTCCCCTTCTTGCACAAGGAGTGGTCCACCGCTGTCACCCTGACAAGAATCCTGAGCACCGCGACCGGCACAGATCATATTGTTGGTGATACGACTAGCACGATACTTCATCTGACGACATTGGCTGAGACTTAATATGGGCACCTGAACTTCATGGACCACACCAGGAAGTACACCTCCTTCTGTGGTTCGACCCCAACCTACAACCGTACCTTCTTTACCGGCAGGGTCTGTTCCTGGTGGGAAATAAAATCAGTGTTAGCGGTAGTACACGATCGAAAGAATTAATTTTATTTATTTTTCATGCAGTAATGTTACCTCACTTACCATATTGTGGAAGGCAGACTGGCTTGATGGTTTTTGTAAATTTTACAGGTTTACGAAGTTTCAGCAACGCCACGTCATGATTGTAGGAATTTGTGTCAAAATTTCTATGACGAATCACGGAGCTGACTGCTCTCATTACCGCGACCCCGTCGGTATTTACGTACTGATCATAGTCCCCAAGGACTACACGGATTTTCGATCTTTTTAATCTAAAAAAATTTATTTCGTCAAATTATTTATTAATTACATACATAGTCCAGGTATACAAATTATTAATTGGCACACACCTTCTTACGCAATGCGCGGCAGTCAGTACGTAATCGTTGGTGACGAGACTTGCTCCACAATGAAACTGACCGTCGTAAACTAGTCTGGCGACCCATGGGTATCTGTTTGGTCCAGTTGGTCTTCCGCCGATGATTCGATTTTCCTGATTGATTATGCCACATTCTAAAATGCGTGATATTAAACGCTGATATTATTGATGACAGAATATTTTAGTCCGTGCATTAATTTTTATGAAAAATAAAAAATGATATTCTTACCGCACGTACAGTTACGTAGTTTCCCGTCGTCTGTATCGGCGCTGCCTGTTATGTCGATACCGAATAATTCATCAAAGAGGAATCTCCGCGATCTGTTACTGTCCGTTTGCTAAAACAAATATACAATCGGAAGAACGTTCACTTTCTATCATAAATATAGGCGCCATGGGACTTCGACACGGGAGAAAGTGACCATCGTCCGAATTATGGGTCAAGGTCTGATTCATAAGAAAAATAGAAATTTGCATCGGGACGTAGATCTTATGCATGTAAAATCGATGTTATGTATGTATTTTGCATTACCGGTTCAACTATCTTAGAGTAATATACGTTTTATGCCTAGACTTTATGCCTATGCTTTACAAAGAAGGAGTCGTATGATATTATTGTCAAGCATCTAAAGATTGCAAAATTTATTATTTCAGATACTGCTAACTTTAAGAAATTATTACAGGCATTGCATAACATTTTGAAAATACTTTATACTCTCTCAGAAGATTCTTTGCTGCACGGACGAAACTTCCTTTCGTTCGAAAGATGGTAAAATATGCGAAATTGAAAATTCAAAGAGAAGATGGAAAGACGAGTCGATATAAAGGAAAGACCAAAGCAGTGAGACTTACGAAAAAGTTGAGAGGTCCTTCGGAAGATCTCGTGTCAAAGTTCACCAAGAATCCATCGGCTTGCATGAGTAAGCCAAAAGTGAGTAGCGCCAGTATTTTCGGAGTGACCAGAAACTGTGTCATTTTTCAGGCGTACGATTTTTCAAAACAATCACAGACTGAAAAAACGTGATTTTCAATAAAAAAAATAATTTAAATATTCACAGTGCACTTGGGCTATTTACAAGTTCTCCACATTATCATACACACAGACACCTTACAGGATCCGCCGGTATTAATCGACCCTGTAACAAAGTCCCAAAGATACGCGCGAAGTAGATGAAAATTTCGCGGACGGTTCTCGCGACCGATTCCTTCGATTCTCTGACCGGAGATTTCCGATCGTAGCTTTCACCGGTTCCATAAAGACGACGCACTGACCGAACTCGGCGCACCTAGCCGCGCTCTACGCTCTCGAAGAAAGTTCTTTCTCCGGGCACCACGCGGGACTTGAAACGCGTTCGATATACTACGTAAATCGTAAGGCGAATCCTTGCGTCGCGGAATCCGCGTTCCTCGTAGACGATGCTCACCCGTACGTAAATACAGTAAGATTTGGAATGGTTCGGATCCACCAGGAACTAGCCTCTATAATACTCTATCCTAGGCCTCTTCCTCTCTGACTCAGCATCTTCTCGAGATCTTGAACTCTGTTGTGTGTGTCAGACCTGAACCAGGTATATTTAATATAGTAATCCCACCATCATCTGTCACTATTATTATATCTCGACTTTTTTTCTCTCTGATTTATCGTCCCCACTATAGTGACCTAAAGGCATATATCTTATCTGGCTGGCAGTCAAGTATTCATATACGTAGATGAACTTATTCATATTGGTATATCTATATTTACTGGGATTTCGTAATAGGTCTTTACTGTACGAAATTCTATGTACGTTGTCACGGTCGTATAATAGCCTTCGCTTATGCCTATAAGAGGACAAGGAAAAAAAAAAAGAATATCGGTATATCGATTCAGCTAATTACAGATTCGATGCGGAGCTGAGAGAGAGTCCTGGTGAAGGATACTTTGCGATTAGGGGAAGGTCGCCGATTATGGAAAAGAACGTCTTCTCGGTACCGTCTTGCTAGAGATGCACCAAACATCGCAGTATCAAAGTGCTACGATTATTCGAGTGAAAAGACAGCTGAGTTATATTCGTTGGAATAAGGTATATGGATACTGCGAGGGAAAGTGAAAGATTTTAGGAAAATGTAATTTTCCAAAATTTCTTTGTATCGCGATCGTGGCTATGTGTGGCTATGGCTATGTTAAAAAAGTACGGTCGACCGAGAATCATCCGAGAGTTTGTCACTTTAAAACGTTATCGAGTTTTTCACAGATATTATATTTGTACCGTAGTGTACACAGTGAAAAGGATATGACGTAGCAAGTAGGTTCCGTTGTCGAAAGAATGTCGAGGATAGAAAGTAAGCTGCATCGAAATATCCAGTATGATAATTTAATAGTATCTCTCAGCTGATTCATTCTTCATGGTCCCAACGGTTAGGGTCAACACGGAACGCCTTCTTTGATTTATCTCGATCTGATCAGCACCAGCATCCCGTCACGATAATAAGATGTAATATTCAGAAACAATCCTCCTGGCTTGCAATGCACTTACGCTTGTGGTCCAAATCGGGAGAAGTCACGTATTATTCTTAACGGTTCGATGGTTTCACTAACCCACATTCGTCGTTGAAAGCAAAACGGCTCAGACTCGTGTCCTCGTTTCTGACTCTGGTAGCGCATCTCATTAGACCTCGCGTTACGGCGCTTGTTCTTCCCTTTCAGAATTCATTTACTTCTTTTTATTCTTTCGTTTTCTTTGTTGCTCCCTTCTCTCTTTTAATAATACACTTTTCTTAACACCACACCTAGTCGACTGCTCCTTTCTTTGACCCCCCCCCCTCCGCCCCACCAACCCGAAAGTTCGTCCTTCGCGGGTTCACAAGCGAGAGTCACGCAGGCCCCTGCCATTATCGGACGAACGTGTTCAACTGTATTACTTTTGCAAGGACCGGTTGTCAAAAGAAAGGTGAATTCAACGTGTCATTGCGTATTTAATGCCGGACGTTGTTCGTCCTCGTTTTTAAAATTTTTGATATTTGGTAAAAATTTTGGAAAAAAGGATCGAGATTGGTCAAGATTATTCTCAGGTAAATGATTAATCAGGTATGTTTCGTAAGTGTTCTTATCAATCCGCAGGTTCACGGATAACGTTAATTTAATGTTTATTTTAGACGCTCCCAACTGACTTCGTAAAATACTTCTGTGTGCACAGTGTGAATGATTCATGCGAGAGGCCATGGACTCAAATTACAACGTTACCCTGGATCTTTCTGACGAGCTGCAGTTGGTTTACAGGGTTAAGAATATCGATCGAGTTCGCAGTTGTCGCAGATGGGCATACAATGAAACGGGGTCCGTGTGGATCAATTGAAAGTAACTCGAGTAAAATAACAAGTGAAACCTTTAAGGTTTCTTAGAGATATCGTATTCCCACCAAATAACAGAGCGAGCGAAGGCTGGAGTGATGATGATCATCTTGTTTATTCAGCATCCACATAAATACAGAGGAGAACGATCACAGTACCTCATAGAGGTCATCATATATATACATCAGACTAGATTATCATAATTTGCACAGGAGAGAATTGAAGTGCAGGATAAGTTGGACGTGTAAACTTCCAATGGCGATGCATGAGACTGCTTTCATCTTGCGAGAGCAATCGATCAAGTTCCGTTCAATGCTGTCGATTATAGACATTAGAAAACTTTTTTTTTTTCTCATAGTAGACCAGCCGATTAAGGTTCTGGGGTAATCCTGAGAGATTATCGCCGACCAGCGATCTTGGACGTGGGTGGCGGACAGACGCATTCGCCATTGAGATGATTCTTCAGCCATCCCAGATAGTTGGTAAGCTTGGTATAAACCCCTGGAAATTGAGGCCTCGCGCATCCACGTCCCCACGAGATAATTCCTGTGTACGAAAAGTAAAAAGAAGAAATATTGATATTTTGAAAATTTAAAATTTTAAAAAAGTTACGTAAAAATATTTAATCACGTGACCGACCTACAACTTCCAAATGATTATACGTCCCGCTGATGTGCAGAGGTCCTCCACTGTCACCCTGGTAGGATTGAAAAAAATTTGGATAAAAAAAATATTTTTGAAAATCAATAAGTACCGTTCCCTCGATAATTTACCTGACAGGCATCACGCTTTCCTTCCAGATATCCGGCGCAGAACATGTTATCAGTTAGACGTTTCTTATCGTATCCAGCAGTTCGACATTCTTCGTCGGACAGGATAGGAAGACTGACCTTGCGCAATTCCTGACTTATGGGTTCACGCTCGCCCGTATGTCCCCATCCAGCAGCGACCGCCATTGCTCCCGAGTAGTCAATGTCCCCTATGGACCCATCCATCAAAATCAAGGTCAGTTATTCGTTCAGAAAAGTTTTAAGTCCACGGCACACTCTGTGACCCAAATTAGATTTGGAATTTTAGATTCGTACAAAGTCACTCACTGTTTTCAGGTAAACAAGCTGGTCTGATGATTCCATTGAACGTCACAGGACTATCCAGCTCGATGACGGCAATGTCATTATTGAACGTATACGTATCGAAATTCTCATGTATGTGAACCGCCTTGATGCGTCGTTGAATAGTCGATGATTCCTTTATGGATCTATCGTGATCTCCCAGAACGATCTGAATTTCCTTTGTGTTGAACCTGAAATAATTAAATGTACGATGTGAGCCATCGGTTTGAAACGCATGGTATTCCGGTACATCCGACGAACGATGCTCGAGAGCAAAGGTGAGATTATTTTCTTTTACGTATACAAAAAATGTTTGCCAAATCATTGAACTCTTGCTAAAACGTTAATCACGCATCATAACGATAATCGTATGTGCAAGACTCAAGTATATTTGTACAAGTGTTTTCGACTGACAGATATCAAATAACGATGTTTACCGAGACTCGAATCACTTTTGTGTACTTGAAATCCGAATACAGCCACTGACGACTTAATCGTTACTTTAGGATTTTTTCGACTTACCCTTCCAAGCAATGAGCCGCCGTGAGAAGATGTTTACGTGTAATTAAACTGCCCGCGCAGTAGAATTTCCCACGTCGACTCATAGTCGCGATCCATGGAAATTCATGAATTTCCGTCACATTTCCACCCACGATACGCATTTTGCGATTGCTGATGCCACAAACTGTTAAACGAGAAATCAATGAATGACTATCAATAAATAATTATCCAAAAATTATCCCAAGCAGAAAAAAATGGTATGACAATGATCATTAAGAAAAGTTTCACTTATGTAATAAAACCTTTTTTTTTTTCACTAATTACCACAGTCCCTGCAGATGTTGGGACGTCCACTGGGATTTTTCGTGGGTGGAACATTTTCAAAGTCGACGTAGGATTCTTCAGAAATCGAGGGAAGACTGGAATAGCTGCTGCTAGTAATATTGTAGTGGGTCTGAGTATTCGAACTTGGTAGATTCCGTCTGTTCTTGTTTAGCTGCATAAAAGAAAATATATATTAAAAAACTATTGCACCGATTCAAAGCTTAATAACGTCGATACTTAATAGTTCGGAATACAAGTTGAGTTGTACCGCGGCAAGGGTTGCTTTTTTTTTCGCTAGTAGACAGTAACGCAGATATACATATATGTATACGTAACGAGTACCGAACACCTCACTACAATAGACTCCATACGCGATAACTTACCACACTCGGTAACGCGTGCACGTAACCAATGATCAGATAGAACGTTATAAGAGCAACAACGTATCTGGTATCCATCTTGACACTCTTCACCAATTTGTCGCACTGTCAGCCGTAGAAGTAAGGATCGAGTCTGTTTTGCCGTTTTATAGTAAATTATAACTAATAAAATGACGTGGTGGGGCGTCACCTTGAGTGGTGCGTTTGCATTGGCAGATGTGTTGTCAGCCTTTAAATCACCTCTATGCGGTGTGGTATGCGCGTTGTCTCTTCGTATATAATATATATATATATACATACATATATATATATATATATATATATATATATATATATATATATATATATATATATATACATACATATGTAATATGGCGTAATATACGACCAATCCGAAATAACCAATGTCACGCTTCATTATTCGACCAATTTCACGTTGGGCCCTTTCTTCCTCCCAATCACAATGATCAATGTCAATTTCGTTTCGTCAGCAATCGGTCGTACCGAATTGTAAGAAGTTCAAAAAAAGAAAGTTTTACCATCCTCTGTCAACGCCATTTACACGTGCAGTTGCATCTGCCCTAAAGAGAAGCTGTTGCACTTCACTTTCCATACTTTTTCACGTTGATGCATTCCGTCCTGTTATCGTCGGCTACAGTGAGATGCATCTTGGGATGAATAATTATCGAAGCTTGCATCTTGCTGCAGGTTACTTTCTGATTATTCAGTCTCGCCGGAGGTGAGAGTCTCCTTTGACTGAAACGCATCCTGATTTGAGTCGTCAATGCAAATAAGACTACTTTGAGACACGTGGCCCAATTTTCCATGTAAAAATGGACCAAGATTACAGATTCTGTACGTAGGACGTAATATCGTTGGATTTAATGTTTCTGTGGTCTGATGATGTTTTTTTTTTAATTTTAATTTTAATTACGTTTTTTAATATTCAAAAAAAAAATAGCGACCACGACCTTTAGCATCCCGAGGCTGTAATAATACATTCGCGCGAACGTGTTTTTTCGATCGTCGTCTCATTAGCGGAATTTGCAATTCTCATTGTGAAGCTGGTACAGGTAGGCTGTTTTTTGAATTGTACAAAATTTCTTTCCAGCTTCGTACGACTTGAACATTTGTCTTTGGATTCGAGGAATACGAGCGAACGTCAAGTCATTTGGGACGCCCGAAGTCATCCGCATTCGTATGTGTTTAGACGTTGGCACTTGGTACCATATAGCAATAGTAGTGAGTTTCTGGGAAACGTATATGAGATTGTGAGACGATGTCATATGGGTTCACGTGGGAACTACGAATTGGGGTCAATGTCTGCCCTTGTCGTCTAACAAAGATTCGAGGTAAAGTGATATCCAAGTATCCGCCGATATATTCGTGTAAGGCGGTCGGGATGGTTCGGCAGTCGTGTTAGATGACGAATAAGGGAAAGAAAGAAAATTAATTCGATTTAGTTTTACTAGAGTCAAAATCAGAGAGAGAGAGAGAGAGAGGGAACGAGAATATAATACAGAGTGATGAAAAAAGCACGTAACTTATAATGAGAGGAAAAAAGGAAAAGAAAAACCTGACAAATATCCACCGCTGGTAAAGTCTGCTCGGCAGTTGGAAGTTGCGTCCTAAATTCATAGTCACGCGCGACGCCAAGTTCGACGACTAAAGACGGCGCCCAGTAGAGTTTAAGACTAGCCCGTGCGACTCCTTGCCTCTTTCGGTCCGCCTCTTTATGCAAAGTTTCCCATTAGCTTGAGTGACCTTTGGCTACCCGGAGAACTACAGACACGTTCCGTGAAGATTTCGCTTTGGGACTAACTGAGGTTCCTGCTGGAATCGAATGAGACTAATTACACACCAATCATTAGAATTTCGAAGATTCATCGAATTTTTAAATAATTTTTCTCTTGTCCGGTTCATTTAATTATTGATTTTCGTTCTAGGTCTGCTTGCCACTCCTTTCAACCCTCATTGTGAATTCTGGGACGTAACCTTACACAGTCTTTGTTTCTCCTTGAAAAGTAACGATACTGCAGTCTGCATATTGAGATCAGTGTGCGTGGCTGCTTTACGAGCAGCTGAAGAAAAACAATTTGGGTCGCAATTCGAGTACAATGAGAGATATCGTACTGGCTGTGAAATTCGATTACTTTGACAAGCAGCAATGTGTACTGTGGTTGAGCTATTCCTATATACACCAGGTATGATACACACGTGTGTACTGTTTAATGGATCATAAAATAAATGCATTGTGTTTGTATATCTGTATTGTATACCTTGTCTAGCCATAAATATAGTGTATGCCATTAGTAATTAACTAATTCTTCGACACTCTTGGAAATAAACTGATTGCGAGCGTGAACAAGGCGAACGAACAGTCGAGTCATAAAGTATTGAAAATAGGGTCGAACACATAAATTATTTACTTAGGTCTTTGCGTCTCCGAATTATCGATTATTTGTTCATTGTTCTTTATCTTAAAAATTGATATCATTTTGACCAGAGATTTTAACGCGGATCACGTGTCTTCGTTAAACTAAGGCAAGGCTTCTGATAAGAATGGACGACTGTATACGTCGAGACAATAAAGCAAGGCGAACCCGCATGAGGGTGTCGTGGCCCATATACCTTGACCCACTGTCATGGCTTATGGGTGGTACGTATGTTTTTCTGGTACATATGCTATCTAAGTTACTCAGAAATACCCCGCAATAAGATAAATCCATCTCCTGATTGGCTCAGAATCTCTCTCGTATAAAACTGGGATTTTCAGAGAAAAAGTTGTTAGAACTTTGCTGGAGGCTTTTGGATACAAACTAATACGTACCGGATCGTTGCTGTATAACTTTTGTATAAGTATATATACAGTGTAGAGGATGAATGAGACTTTTATTATTATTATTATTTTTTTGTAATTTCTTTATAGTACGCACTATACGAAATCACTGAACCTACCTTTACGTAATGAATTCATTTTCTTTGCTCGCTTGAATTGTTATGGTTATGTCGTTCGGCGAGAGGGAATGATCTCGAGTCCTGGTTATATCAGAGAATTATATATATATTTATTTTCTTGTAAACTGCTAGGAAACGATGGCTATGTCGAATATTTGCGATAAATTAGCATACGACTAGCCTAAGTTTTCACCTGCGATTCCCGCTCGACGGCTATTCCGTATAAATAAAGATGTAGCACGGAATCGAAGCCTATGTGAAAGTGTCCGTCGAGTTGGTAACAAGTGAGCAATAGAATTGATTTAATATAATACTCAGTGTATTCGTATAGCCGATCGTACCCGGAGAGAGCAGCGAGAACGGATGCATTAAATAATAATGCACCTCACGTCCATCTTTATCGGCCTCGTGATCGTGGTGACGTCGTCACCGTCGCCAGTGCCCGAGAAGGTAAGCAAATGGATCGGACGTATGGACGATTTAGTTGAATTCAAAAAAGAAGGATCAATTAAGTATATTATTCACGATTAAAAAGTGTAATTCGAGAGATCAATTATTAAAATAACTCATAATTGACAATAAGGCGTAACGGATGTTGACAGGGTGGGATATCTGTAAGTTTTGGCAATGGCAAAAAAAATGTTACCAGTGCAAATCTCTCTAATCCCGGGCTCGACGACAAAGGATTTCTGGAATGGCTTTCCCAGCTGCTAAGCGGCCAAACAGGAGGTACCACTGCGAAACCGGAAATAGAGAAACCTCAAGATTGTCCAAAATGCAGTTAGTACCTGAAATTAGAAAATTTTTAAGTGTATAGTTTAAAACTACTAATTACACCTGCGATTAATTATTTTATCTCAATCCTTACGAATCTCCGGCAGAATGTGGTCTGACGAACAAGCAGCACAGAATTGTGGGTGGCGTGGAGACACAAGTAAATCAGTATCCATGGATGGCATTATTATTGTACCAAGGAAAATTTTATTGTGGTGGTTCGGTGATTAATTCACGATACATATTGACAGCTGCTCATTGCGTTGACGGGTATGTTATTAAATAATCAATGCAAATCGATTTCATTGGTCGTGCGATTAAATCGATAAATCTCGTTTCTAGCTTTCAAAGGAGCAAGATGGGTGTCCGTCTTCTCGAACATGACAGAAATACCACGACGGAAACGCAGACGCAGGAATTCAAAATCGAACAGATTATTCGACACAGTGGTTACTCGACTGTTAATTATAACAATGATATAGCATTGTTGAAGGTACAAGGCAGCCTGAAATTCGAGGGACCATTGAGACCAGTATGCCTGCCTGAATTCGGTGAGTTGGGTGGATGGAAGAAAAGGCATTGAAATTATGTATGAATTGTATATGAAAATGATACGTTCTTGGGTCAGGGAAAACATTTGCCGGTGACACGGGTATAGTAACAGGATGGGGAGCGACCGAAGCTTCTGGACCTATTTCTATAACGCTACAGGAAGTCAGCGTACCGATCATGACGAATAACGATTGCCGGGCGACAAAGTATCCAGCAAGAAAAATTACAGATAATATGCTCTGTGCTGGGTTCAAGGAAGGGAGCAAAGATTCTTGTCAGGTAATTCAAATAATTAGGTATATTTTTTTTGCATCGCTAATAATTCATGACTATCATTGAATTAATATGTCGGATATGCATATACAGGGTGACAGTGGTGGTCCATTACACGTGGCAAGGGATGGCGTTCATCGAGTTGTCGGTGAGTCTCGATCCTTTTAATTATCTTATTTAATTTCAAAATAATAATAATCTTTTATAATACAGGAGTTGTATCCTGGGGCGAGGGGTGCGCACAGCCTAATTATCCTGGGGTTTATGCCAGAGTAAATCGTTATCTAAGTTGGATAGAGCGTAACACGTTGGATGCTTGTTATTGCTGATGGCAGGATAGAACTTTTTGGATACTGAATATGGATTTTGGTATTGTACAGGTGAGCTCGCTGAGTTGATTGATACGTTTGTTGCACTGTAAATTATATATAATATTTTGTATCCTTTTTGTTTTATTGGTATACATAACTTTCGTGATCTAAACTATCTACGCGTATAGATACGGTTGTGTTATTGTTAAGCTTTTGTAGATACAACTTAAAAATGGTCAACGTAATTGTACTGGTATTGTGAAAAGTGATTGTTAAGGCACGAGTATCCATGTTCGCGGCTTTGGCTAGCTGTAATACTATGAGCGTATAGAAATGAAAGTTGTCAAAACTTTCTCTTTTAATTTCGCACTTTTTCGGATGAGACCAAGATTTTTTCGTATGGTGTATTCATCGTGTGTAACTTACGTCAGGCCGAATGATATGTTATAATTAATTATGTATATATGTAATCGTAACTGGCACGTGTGACCCACGTGCCTTTCAGACTGTCATAATCATGTTAGAGTGGCCTAATTAATTTACTCTTTGGGTATAAGCACGTATATGTGCAGATCAATGGCGATTTTGCACATAAGCATTGTTAGAGATATGTTTCGTATACATAATAGAATTTTTACTTTATCCAGCCGTGCTTAATCGCGAGGGATCGCGCATTTGATACCTTTGTTTATAAAATTAACAATAATTAAATTTCGAGTCTGTGACCACAGGTAGTCCTGGGGTAGGTATTTAGGTGATTAGTATTAATTTTATGTGTGAAAATATTAAGTACGAGGTCCTTTCGGCTACGCACGACTAGATAAAGATTAATAACGCGACAGATACTAGATGCCACATATATTTAGGTGGTAAGCTCAAGAGTCACGTGTAAGGAACTAACGTTGATATTAGACATTTTTTAAGCCGCACGCATTGTTTTTTTGCAACTTCAAAATTTGCACTGTTCGTCTTCAAAACAGATACGTCGACATTGATACTAAAGTTACAACTGATTGATTATCTTTTTAGTGTGATTCAAACGTAAATTTAACAAATGGCAAATCTTCTGTGCTTTCTATACTTCGGTGACTAGAGAACTTTTCACGCTTGGCATTGCAGGACGTTGTTCCTTCTCGTACAACCAATACGTCTCCATGTTACCTTTGCCCTGAATAATGAGAAATAAATTTTATTAGAGTTACCCAAATTCCTCGCGTACCATTTTCCTTGGAATCGTCATATAATTTTTTATTGTGCTGTATGAAAAATTCCCAGAGATACATAAGGGACTGAATCAAAGTCGTTATATTGTTTTGCAAAAATTCCTTAATATATTTCAACGACATAAAATTTGCAGGAACCTACCTTAACCCACACCGTGCCACGTGGTTCCAAATGATATCTGTCCTCTGGCAAAAGTATTTTAGTATCCGGAGACAAGTGAACCTTTCCAGGCTGCATTAAAAAAAATCCTCTTAATTAGTCTATAAAAAGTCATTAAAAATTTTCTCAAATTAATTGATTGACTTCCAGCAACCTACTAACCGTACTCGTCGTTTGCATTCTGGATGCTGTATTCACGGTATCTCCAAAGAAGCAATATCTTGGTACTTTGATACCAACAACCCCAGCAACAGCAGGACCAGAATGTATTCCTGAGAGTATGTGAAAGTGGAAAAACAGGTTGGGTCATATATGTATTAATCTGATACGAAGATCATTGGGATATTAGTGAATCAACTGTCAGATACCAATGCGAATTTGTATATCGAGGCCAGATGGTAGCTTGAGCGACCGTACGTGGGTGATAAGCTGCAATGAGACATCAGCAATATTTCGGGCGTGATGTTCAGTCTTATCTGGAGCTCCACTCGCTGCCATGTAAACTCGCCCCACGGTTTCCACCTGAACGAGTAAAATTCATTAATCAATATCCGTATCCCTTGAAATCGCTGGGCTAAAGAAATTTGACAAAATTAATACAGGTTACCTTGTAGACATTAAATTTATCCATAAGAGAGTCAAAGCAGGAAAACACTGCATTCATGGAGGATACTATATCCATGGCATCTTCTATGGTCGAATAGTTGAAATCGCAAAGTTCACAGAACAACACAGTGATGGATTCGAAGGACTGGGAGTAGTAAAAAAATTAATTCGGAATTAGCATGGGATCATTTTTTAAAAAATTGTTTCAACGCTTTAAGATTAATCAGTACCCACCTCACAAGTACTGAGCGGACTGGCGCCGGCACGTAAACGATCGGCAACAATTTGCGGTATCATGGAATAAAGTAATTCATCACTTTTATTTTTCCATCGATCCAAAAGGTCATAATTTATCTCAAGCTCCGCTGACTTTTGCTCAGCCCTTTCGAACATCATCTCTAACCTGTTAATAAATAACTAAAGAATTATTATCTTTCGCCTATGCTGATTTAACTATTCACTGAAGGAATAAACGATCAAAGTTGATTTAATACATTGGATAGCTCTCCAAATTACCTTCCACAATGTTCCAATCCTCGAAAAACCATCTCGCGACTCAAGCCGTGTGGATTAAGATCATTGAAAAACAGACCCATGTTACGTAACTCGTCCACGTTGTTGATCCTGTTAAATGATTAAGATTTATATATATATATATATCATTAATTATATTGTGAAAATATATATATGTATATGTGTATGATGATAAAATAATAATTGGTCGAACTTACAAGGGACTACAGAGGAAAATTATTCCCTTGATATCTTCAATGTATCTCATTTGTCCTTTGAATAAGATACTTCTTGTTCCCTGACTTCCTCTCCTATCTAAACCGGAACTCGTGCTGGGACTATTAGTCGTCGTTACAGAGGATTCCGGAACAACAGATTTACTTTCAGACGATCTGATTAATTCTAGTTCGAACATCACGGAATGTAAATTCATCACCTAAAAAGACGAAGCGTCTGTTTTTCTCTCTCTTAACTTGACCAATAAATTTGAAAAACTTAATAAGATTTTTGGACAATTTTTTTTCAAAAAAAAAGAAAAAAGAAATAAATGAAAGAATGACTTTTTGTTTTATTTACGTTTCTCCAAGTGAATGAGATTCCCTTAGGTCGTCGTAACTTGAAGAGTTCACTGACGTGCTTGTTCAGCACGGACGTGCTGCCACCCCACGCCTGCATGAGTTTCTCCCCAGCACCCAGAATGCACATGTTACGATTAAGAATAACCCCAAAGGGAAATAATCGCAGTAACAGCGTACAGGGTACGGGGGATAATTGTGCCCCCATGGGAGCCTTCAGTTTAGTATTTTTTGATATCTGGCAAAGAAGATTCATTGGAAAGTTTTAATTGGACATTATTTATTTTCACTTGCGACATTGCTACTTACGTAATCACGATTGTCAAAATCAATGCGAAATTTAACCATGACATTTTGAGAACCCGGTATATTATTCGAGGTTTCCAGTACCCTGATGTCCAATGTTGTTTTATAAAGATCCTTGGCAATTTGAAAAAGCTGACCTGTCGCATTAATGCATTTTTGGATATAAATCAAATTCATGATTCTTTTCTTTCGAATTTCCGTCCATTAATCCTAGTCCTTATCGATCAAATGTCTCACCCATGAAGTAGTGAGTAAATCCCTGCCTGGTACTTCTGTATACCAGAAAAACACCGTGTGGATCGACATGAGTGATATACATGGAGGGACTCTTCATTTTTGGATATGTGAATCTCATTTGCATATGAATGTTGTCGACATTTTGTAGAAAGTCGCAGAAATATCGTCCAGTCGCTTTGATAGTGCAGTCGTATCTAAGCGAAATAAATATTGGTAAAAAGTTGGGAATAAATCTTTCTTTTTTATTACGTCACTTTTTTTTAACGACCAATCCATGAAATATTCCACTTAATCGGGCCTATAAATTTCAGGGTAGGCATACCGTCGAGACCGCCCGCACAGATAGAACATATATATGTGAAACTTGTATGTGAATATATAATTCTCACATATTGACATTATATATATATATATATATACACCTTCAGTTTATCAACGATCTTTACATACCTATAAGCTCATATCCCGTTACGGTGTAAAATTCGCGGAAAAGATATTTCACACGGTGCCACTGAGCACAGATTTTTTGCATCTTTTTTTATTATCGTGACATTTTTCGCAATTTTCTAAAAACTTGTAGGCAACCTAAAAAGTTAAGGTTGGATCCTTTTTGATTTAATTTTTGCGTTTATTTATTTTTTGGTAAATTTTTTACTCTTCGTTCGAGTGTTCTGATTATACTTAGTTGTGTCAATCATGAAACTATCATAAAACAGAGAATCGATAAAAGTAATTATGGCGTTTGTACATTGAGGATGTTTTAAGTTACAAAAAAAATTTTGGATTAATTAAAAAAATTCCCACGTTCATTTTATAGAACGAATATTATTAATCCGATCTATACGTTAATATATAATTACTCAAGTGAACATTCTAACCGAAGAGTATTCCTACCCTTGGGTAATAAATGGTTCGAGCGTCCAGCTATTGGTTGTCCTTTCCAGCAATTACAGAACAATTAATTTTATAATTAACCCTTGGAAGTTCACAGCAGGGTTGCACCTTAATAGCTATTGGTACCTAACTCCTTCTCAATTAACTCTAAAGAGTCATTATCATTGATGACGTAATGAAACAATTGAAAACCAGCTCGATAATATCTCTCGGATAGTAAATTACTTGATACATTAAAATTACCCCAAATTGCTGAAGAATCGAACGAAACACCTGCCAAAGAATTGCATCACCTTGTCTTCAGTGTCGCAAGTATAAGCGGCAAGAGCTTTAGCCAAATCCCTTATCAGATTGTCAGGATAAATTTGTCGCGTATTGAAAACTGTATGTTTCACGCCAGCTGCTTCCAATATACATAGCCATACCTCTTCTCCATATTCCAACTAAAAAAAAAAAAATCACAAATATACAATTTTTCAAATTTGAATTTATTATGGTTATAGCGCAAACACCCGTTCGCTTACTAATGATAATTTGACTTTTTACCAGAGAAAATTGTATGCGACCCCTAGTGGTTTAGAAGTCGAATTAAAAGGATTTCGGCTGCCATTACGGGATTGAGAATAAAAGGTGATGGGATAAAGCTCTGTTAACGAAGAAGCTTTGAGAGGGAATGAAATCGCTGTTTTCCAAAAATTTATATCATTGATAACAAGCCGGAGATTCTCTTCTCGTGTAATCCAATGAAATGGCGAACCACTGTGGTGAATCAGCTCTTCGACGATAATGGGGGGTTGTAATGTATATTATACCGTGGGATTAATTTCCAGTTGAGATAAAACTTTATTTCCATAGGACTGATTATAATTCGAATAGGGAATGACGTCGCTGTCATTGTCAGTGCGTGGTATAAAAAAACACAGCAAAGATAATCAAGCAACCATTCAGTTATCATCGAGTTATCAATTATACTTTGCTTATCAAAATTATCGATTTACAGAACACCCATGCTCGTACCAATGATTTCCTCTAGTTTCTAGGCCTAGTCTCACTCTCTGTGTGTCTTTGAAGCAACGTATTAGCATTGTCAATAAGATTTGGATCTAACTCAAATAGTAATCCATTCGAAGGTTTGTACTATTGCTTAGAGACTATATAATAAATTCCAACAGCGTACGCGGCCTTTAATCTCCCGTTAAGATAACTTTCAACTCATTAAGATGATCCTCATGAAATTTATCTTGGTAAATAAACGCATGGTCTCTATATAAACTGAACCAATATCCCTTAAGCCCTTCGCAAACAATAAATGACGAGTAATCACGAAAAGGCTAAAGCTGCCAATAATTGATAGTTTAATAAAGTAATTCCCACGGGGGACTGTATACTGGGAACACGGCGAAATTGGCAGCAGTCGGTCGTTAAAATGAAATTTATCGAGCTAACCTCCATGCGAATCGTGTCCTATCGTTCGTCTATTACGAATTAAGTATCATTATGAAAACCGCATTCATCGTGAATACGTTCGTTGCCCCTTTTAATTGTTGGATGACAAAAGTCATAATTTAGGATTATTGTGTTGATTTAGGTAATTCCTATTGAACTGTCAAAACAATTGACCTTATATTAATTACAAACGTTAATTTACGTAACGACCTTATCGAACGCGAATAGGTTGTAGTAGCAACGTGCGTTCTTAATTCTTGCTTAATTTTAAGGACCTGACTGAAATTCGACATTGAGTAGCTATTTCTGACAGCAGACGTCACTAAAGTATTATAATGTCGCGGTTACGGGACTGAATAGAATTTTTAATCGTATCTTGATCACACTAGTGGCACGTCTTGTGTATGAGTATGGACGGTACTTAAATATAGATTATTTATCGAATATCGTATGGGTATGGGTCTATGGGATTTCAGTCGGTTGGCGTTGTTAGCAATTAATTGATTGATTTATTTGCGAATTACCATCTGAATGTTATTATTGTTATTTTCCAGGTGTTATCGATGCTTCCTAGGATAGGTCGATCGTATGGTATAAAATGAATGATTTATCTGATCGTAAATTCTGGGACAATGGGAGAAACTTTGACGTGTCTGGTAGCGGGTAATATTTTTAAACTTTACGTGTATGGCGATGTGTGTATAATCGTACGACAGACATGATACTCGGATAAGGAAGCTAATAATTTAAGCTATCTGTATTCAGAGAGCCCATTTCATTGCATACTTTAACCCGTTTCGTATAGTGAGCACGTGATACGTATTTTAAACAAACGTCATCAAATCTGTATGAAAAATCAGATTAATCTTGGATCAATTGATTGTCAAGTGTCGGAAAAATGTGATATTTAACGACAAATTCGACGTGAACGAAAACATTTCATACGAGGATAAAAATAAAATGGATAATCGCGATTGAGTCAATTTGATCGTGAAGAAGAAAACGATATTCGTATTCATCAATTTTTGCTCATAAAGTACGTGACTCGTGGGTTTAAAGTACATCGAGAGGAGGGGGACATTAAAATGAAATTTTTGTGGATTTTGAAAAAATGGAAATTTTACATTCTACGATTTTAATAATGTACAGAAAGGATTTTGTGAAAAATATGTTATTGTTTTTTTTTTATATGATTTAATTTACAAATTTCAAGGTTGTTCCACGGAGTTGTGTAATAAATGGGGACACGGACATTTTTGAATGCGATTGTACGTTAGGGCCAGATTTTAGTATATGTTTTATAGTAAAAACTTCATTGATGGAAATAGAATATTTTTATAATAATAATATTCGCCATGTCCAAAATAATATATGAAATCCATGAGTTAATTTAATCCAATGAAAATCTGTTTTAGATGAGAGGATTTCTAGTTTTAATTAAGACATAAATTAGTTTGACCATTGATTCGTAAGGTGAATCAGAAAATAAATAATTAATGTTATCATTAATAGAAAGTATCCAGGTACCTTAAATGATTATATATATATACATAATAAAATTTATAAAATTTCATTCGATAGCAAGAAATCTTTTCGCTGCAGATAAAAATGAGTTAATATTTTTTTTTTCCTTGGTGAACATGGGAATAACAAAAAGAATCACACTGGGAAACCCCGGAGGCTGTATAATGAAATTACTTTGATACGGAAGAAGGTGAAATACTGGATAATGCTACCAGAGTATCTATTATAATGAATGACAATCCTCAAAACCGCCTTATTTAGATGTTATTGGATTTTATAGGATTTTCGCATAATTCGTAAGTAAGTGAAATCACATGAAAAATGAATTCTTAAAAATACTTAGAGCTTTTTTATTTTACGAAAGAAAGCTTAAGAGGAAATTCAAGATTCGGCCAGATGATTTTTCATGAGACAGATTCCGCTCGAGGACTTATCTGAGAATATGACAGACTTTTGTCTAATGTCCCATAGACACGAGACTTTTCTAAACTTTGTTGGATATTCGTACCAGCTGTGTGAAAAGTTAGAGATACTTTCGCGTTTTCTCATTTTTCCCAATAACGGTCTGGATTTTCCAGCTATGGACCTTTTCAGGTGTATATTCACTTTCCGAAGAATCGACACCCCTTCATCAAGATAAAAGAGCATCAGCGTAAATTCATTTGAGTAGATATTTATCATGATATTAAGAAAAGTCTAAAGACCATGCTTTTATCTTGACCCCCAATAAATAATATTACAATCTGTTAAGAATCATTTTTTGATTTTTCAAAGGGCTATTTATATATCATGACTCGAGGATGATTAATAAGGAAGGTTGTCGGTCAAAGGCACGAACTCTTATATTATCGTACTAAACAAATTTTTCAAGTCCAACGATATTAAGAGTCTTCTTATATGAAATACATATTTTGAAAACCTATATTTTTAAGTACATGGCTTTTTGGTATTATACACAAATTTCAAAGAGACAGACCAAATCTAAATTAACGTATTCTAACTGAGATTGGTATAGTAGGGAAGCTGATACTGTCAAACACTTTCCTCGTATTTCATTGAATATTGAAAAGGGCTTGGTATACGTTACACCTGATGTCTGGTCGATGAGGGATTTCCTGAAGGACTAAAGAGACATTGAATAATATTTTTAAAAATTTAATATTTTTTATAAGAAGGAAATTCAATTTTTCCATTTCATCCATCCGTTCATTTACGATAACTCAACATATTTTTTCATTACGATCTTGATGTTAAAGAGACCTTTCCGAGAATAACACTCATCGGACTATACACCAAGCATACTAAATGCTTTATTATTTCCTGGAGTCATTCATGTCATCGACGTTATTCTTTATTGCTTATGACGTGCACTCATAAAATCGATCAGATATGAACTTCTGAGTCTGATGCAAAATCAGCATCAAAATTTGGCCTATGCCTGACGTCACTTGCGCACGTAACCGCATTGTCATCAAGAAGAAAATGTATGTAAGTTTGAAAAATTGAAATTCATCCCACTTCCATAAACATACAAAACTTACTGAAAAAAAAAAGGTACCAAAGTATAAACTTTACCTGTATAAAATGCTGAACGCTCTCCAAAAGCATACCGTACATGATTGCTAATGATATTACAATTGATTATCAAGTAAGGAAAGTTGGCGAATTCAAATTTTTTTAACACTCTTCTACATCAAATTAAGCGAATGACAGAACGAAATTGGGCGCGAAAGTCAAGCGTATCGTTGAAACTTTAAAAGACGCGACATCGCGGTACGTGAACCACTCGTTAGAGTCAAGTGTTTCGCGTCATTGTCGAGGCGGCTTAACGAGCGTTTCTATACGAACTATTCGCTGCGAAGCGATCGAGGTGCGTTCATGAAAAACAGGTGGGGGGGAGAGGAAGAAGATTTGCACACTTCAACGTCGCGCGATACTTTGGCTGGTTCTGATGTAGCTAAGCCAGGGACACCTCTCCCCGTGATCTAGGGGTAGCTGTATTGTACATACACAAACCCTGCGTGCGCACCTATTGAGGGTGAGGATATTCTATGGCGTTAGAGGTGTCGGCTACCCTTAAAAATCCTTTGGCACGTGTTCCGGGGTTAAAATTCTACCCCACTGGTAGACGTCATACGGGCTCTTCCTTGCGATAATTCCGCGCTGGCAGATGAGAATTTGAATGAACGTTAAAAGTTGGCAAAAAAGTTTCAGTCGGCAGGATATTGGATGCTGTATAGGTATATACTACATAGTAAGTGTCATTAAAGAGAGTGTATTAGGGAAAGGATAATGGTATTAGAAGTTGTCAAGAATTTTCTACATTTTCAATTTTATATTTAATCAGTCTTCGTATGATGCTCCGAGAGATGAGATATGTCACTGAGAATTTTGTATGAGTGATATGAGTATATGAGTGATGAAATGGCGTTACTTAGAAATGTTGGGTGAATGTGGTGGTGAGTTACGTAATTTGTTACAGGTCTCAGTATTATGCAGATCTTAATTAATTAAGTATTAGGTAATTACGTGTTCGATGTGGATTACGAAATCACGAGAATTAATTAAACAAATTGTGGAATGATTTATTGAGGCTATTTAAGAAATGCAATAAATATTTTTGTATTTATTATGTAATATTAAATGACGCTTCGATATCATAAACTTTGTAGATTTACGGTGAAAATTTTTGACAAATTTTCACACTAAAATATTTATCTCTCTCTAGGGAAAGTGTAACTAGGACCTTGTCCATTAATTTGGATTTTTCTCAATTAAAAAGTTTTTAACAATTCAACAACGTATTATTCCTTTCTTATTAGATCATCTGTTATCACTTGGCTAGTACGCGTATTGTTTTCACGGCGCGAAGTACGCCAAGATTAAAATCTATCATTTTTATTGTAATACGTACGCAACTCATTGGTTTACGAGGACCCACAGGACCTACCACGTTGATTAACGTTATGGTTGCCACAAGTCGATATGAAAATTCCCTAGCCGGAATATTCAGCCGAACTGATTTTCCATTAATTCTCAGTCGTTCAGTAACAGCCGCGAATCGTGTAAAAGATTCCTTTGAAAAGAAACATGTTCTTAGGAATTTGTGATTGCGGAAGCACCGACCGACCAATCGAATTCGTTTTGTGCTAGAAAATAAATTTTCGTAACTTTTGTCATTATTGGTAGAGCTTTTCACTTGCTTGTACCACTTGATTAAACGTTAGTCTTGAAGGAGCCTGTGACTTATACTGCATACGGCCAGTGAGTGCTTTGTGTTTGTTTTGTGTCTATTCGTACGAGATGGATGCATCGTGGATGCGCGCGCACGTTTCCCGTCTCGTCTCGCTGAGCCGACAGTAAACGTAAACATGGCTGCGGAGAACAGTGAAGGTTTGCCAATATCTCCATCCGAGAAGTCGTTGACCGGGAGTATGGTGTCGGACGAGAATGACAAGAGTGTATCGCGATCGCCATCGAGTTATTCTATTAGGGAAGACAGGTGGCCGGATCTTGTTGTCTCCAGACCGAGAAAATTGGACGCGTGGTGGTTGCCGAGACGTAAGTAGCTAGTAAATAATACTCGTGTGCATGCTTGTTACTTTATAGGACGCGCGAAATTTGAATTGAGTTTAGTACGATCGATGAGATTTTTTTTCTTGTGCCATTTCGAAATTTTTATTCTCAGTGACAGGAGAGAAGACGTATTTTGTTTTTTAAAAATTCTTTTCGTGATATCCCACTGGGCGTGGATATCGCGTCATATTCTGATTACAGTTTATACAACTGTTGCATTGCCAACATAACCTAGGCGACATAAACTTTATGTAGATTTCTTCAATAATTTAGATACTCCTTTTGTTATTGATTTATAAGTAGATTGCTTAGACTATGTTAACGTGAAACTATTGCTGTTGATTATAAATGTGATAGGTTTAAAATAGTGCATTCGATTCTGCTTGTGCTTATCTGATGTCCCAATAATGTAACAGTCTGATTAATAAATATATTCATGTATAAACCACACCTGCGTTTCTCTTATTGTTTTTATCTTTGGTATTTATTATTGGTATGGTTGTTTTACACCCATGTGATTTTTTTTTTTTGGTTCAATTTACCACTGTTCTACGTTACCGATTGAGCGTAGAACACATTTCACGGAGTTGCGTCGTGGCAGCACCAGCTGCTCACTCGTTTTCTCGGCCCTATTGATTATCGTAGGTGGAGGCAATGTCGGCGGGAGAATCAATATTTAGGGTTCTCCGGCATTCGCCATTTTCACTGAGAAATTTCTCCTAGAACGTGCGGCATACGAATAAACGAGGCATCGAAAGAACAATCTGTCGTTTCACGTGAAAAATTTGCAACTTTAATACAGCACAATTATTATGTAGTGAAGTCAGTGCGTTTTGGACGTTTTTTTTCGCTTTTGTAATAAGTTTAATTTTCTCGCTTCGTTCGCAGTGCTGACGTTTACATTAGTTTACGTTTAAAGTCTACAAATAGATACTCGAATATATTCTTAAATACGTTTGTGGCGACAAGAGATCCAGTGTCGAATAATCGCGTTGAAGAAATACTCAACTTTAAAGAAGAATATTACACTTTTGATAACTCCTTCATAACAAACAAAATCGCAATTTCATTTCAATTTATACAACAGTCCGATCAACTGTGTTTCTGTCTCAGCTCATCGACTGCGATTAAATAGACCTAAATTCAAGAGAACGACGATTACTACAAATTCCTCGAAAAACCAAAAAGGCACCAACAAATCAAAATTGATTGACAAGGACAAATGAATTTAATTACATAAATGAATGTGCACAATCTCATAGACCCAAATGAAAAGCAGGTCAGTTTCACAGTTAATACATTGAGTACCTATGTAACGACGTATAATCAAAGGCTTTAGTGACGTCATACATACCATATACAGTGTGCCAGCTGATCGATACTAAAAGGTGACACTACGTCAAGGTCAATCTTGAATTTTAACCAAAGAGAAAGAATCATCATCGCTCGAGAGAAGATCAAATAAGAAACTAAGAAAGAATTTTCTATGCGGCAAGAATCACAAACCGGCTTAAAGCTGAGGCCCCCGGGTGATCATCATCACGGCGGGGTCATGATCGAACAAGACATGGCCGGCGCTCAGGACACGATTTATTTGTGCAACTTCCGCGTGTCCGTCGATGGCGAGTGGCTCTGTCTCAAGGAACTTCAAGATGTCGAGTTCTCGATGCAGGACTCGATGCAACGTTCGCCATCGCCGCCATTAGCCCTCAGTGGTATACAACAACATCCCGATCCAGTGCTTTGCGATACACTTCCGCCAAGCCCACCGCCATTGCAACACATCTCCAGCTTATGTTTGTATTGTTTGCACTGAACACCTTCGCGGTTCCTTCGAATTTTTCACCTCTGATTCGCATATATTCTTTGGGGATGATGGCTGCTTCTTTCCGGTTTACGATTGCCTCTTTGACTCTATAATTTTGTGCGATTCTATGTACACTATACATACCGCTTTTGCAATCTGTTATCACGTCAACCATTTAAGATTATTCAGATAAGGCAGGGCAGCATCTACAGTAAATTTGTAGACGATTTTTCAAAAAATTATCTCGCTGCTGCTAAACTTAAAAATTATTACGAGGGTCTTTAACAATTTTTATGTTTACACGAAATACGTTTATATATTTTTATAATAATACGTCATATTCAGTCTAAATTTATTGCACAATTCGTGCTTGACTTAGAATTTTTTAATATTACTGCTCGTCACTCTTTTACCTACTGGATGCAATCTTTGCCTCTGCGCCAGTGCACGTCGCGAATTCTTGTGAAACTTCTGTGACTCACTCTGTGTCAGTGAAGTGGCCGAGTGTCCATTTTATTGAGTTGGGGGAATAGGAAAGTGATTAGATTAGACGGAATTATTTTCTTTTTGCAGCACGAGATCCTGTCATAATCGAGAGGAGCAACCTTGTCAACATTTCCAAGTTAATTGTTAAGGAGTTAATTGAGACTTCGTTAAAGTATGGAAGGATGCTCGATAGCGATCACATGCCTCTACAACATTTCTTCATTGTCCTCGAGCACGTGCTCAGGCATGGTCTGCGACCGAAAAAGGTAAAGGGATCCTGGAGGAGATCAGTGCCAGATTGAATAGAGGAAATAGGGACAGGAATAAAAGCGGTTCGATTTCAGGGTCTGCTTGGTCCAAAAAAGGAACTCTGGGATATTCTTCAGCTAGTGGAGAAATATTGTTCTGAAGCACAAGACATAACCTCCAGTATTCGAGATCTGCCGACTGTTAGGTAGATATGGGAGGCTTTGGTTTCTCTTTTTTTTTTTTTTTTTTTTTTTT